CACCTTCTGTGAGGGACGCCATCATAGGCAAGGCAGAATATCCTTGCTGGCATTGCCTACCCTGGTGCAGAAGAAGACCAGGCAGAGGCTGGGAACAAAACCTGGGCTCAGAAAATTTATCTACCTTCTCTCAATTCATCTTAAAATGAAATTTTCTGGGACACTGTCCCCTTTGGTGGCTGGATGCTGGCGTGAACAAAGGGACACAAGGAAAGAGACAAGGAATACAAAATGGATTCCATTCGCAGTCGTTGCGCAAGGTGTATGCAGTAAGTAGATGGACTAATTAGAAGATGTGCACGAGGCCAGGAGGAGCCAATCAGAAACCATGGGTGGGGCCAATACGTAGCCTGACAGCCTTATTAGGGAAAGGGGAGGCCTTGTGGGGTCGGGTGATGGATGACTTTCCAGGGGACTGTCAGCAGACCAAATGCTCTCCACTGAGTTGCTCCGGCCCGTTCGCGGCTCCCGTCCGCCCCCCGACTGTCTTTCAGAATCAAGCACTCCGGGAGCACCGGAGCACCGGGGCCGCTGGTGAGCCCCGCGGCGCTGCCGCCCGGAGGGAGCGCAACTGCTTGGCCCTTCTCAGGTGCCCGTGGAGTCAGGGTCACTAAGAACCTCGGTCTGGGAAAGTCCTCCACACAGAACTATCTTAGGTCTTTCCCCCAAGACACAGCTGTAAAATGAGGAGATTGTGTTCATTGCTCGCAAAGATATTTTTTTTGTGTGACATTCTGGGATTCTATGGCTAATTCCATGTAGAACTGAGGAGTCACAGAGTCCAACTTCGTCCAGGGGAGGAAACATCTGGCTCTTCTAGACTCAGCGATGTTTCCCTCACTCAAATCCAACCACAACAGTAAAGATCACCCAGTCTAGAGGTTCTTGACCTTGATGGTCAGCATCACCTGGGAACCTGTTATAAACACAGATTTCTGGGCCCCATGCCCATTAAGTCTGGATGGAGTCTGGAAACCTGGAATGCTAACATGTCCCACAGGTGAGGCCAATCTTCACAAAGATTTAGGAACCAGTAGTCAGTGCTTCCCAACTCTGGCTGCTTCCCAACTACAGATACCAACCCTCCCACCCCAAGTGAAGTTCTGCTTTGCTTGGTCTGGGGGTGGTGCCCAGGAATTGGTTATTTTAAAAGTGATTCTGATGCTCAGCCAAAGTTCACCATTGCATATGTCTAACTCTAGAGCAGCTTCATCCCATACAAAAGCCACAGAATAGATGTGGCTATTTAAATCTAAATTTTAAGAAGTTCCTCAGTTGCTCTAAGTACATTTGAAGTGCTGATAACCACATGGGGTTAGTAGTTACATGCTGGACACCAGATACAGAACATTTTCATCATTACAGAAAGCTCCCCCGGGCAGCACTGCTCTAGAAAGCTGGTCCCCAGATAATGCCTCCTCACTGCACCATTGTGCAATCAAGAATCTGACCTGAGATGGTGTTTCTGAAGCCCCTTGAATTTGATGAATGCTTGCCTCCCGCAGGCCTGGTGCCTCATATCCAGTATTTCATTTGCTTCTTATCTACTCTGCTAAGTAGGCCAGAATGGGATTATTGTTCGTATTTGACATATAAGAATAATCTAGGCTCAGAAGAAGAAAGTAATTTGCTTAAAATGCCACAGCTAATGGATGGCAGGATTGGGAATCAAACTAGAAGCTCAAATTCTAGCTCAAGTTCTTCCTGTAATACTTTTCACAAACAAGGGCCCTTAGGGACCAAGCTATTGGAACTCCCTCATTGTAAAATGAAGACTAGAGAAAGACTAGAGAAAGACTAGACAGGGAGAGATTTAAGATGCACGGCAAGCTAATGACGAAGCTGGAACTAGCAGGCTGCTCTTAAGCCCTGTCTAGGACCCCTTACCAGCACAGAGAATGTGGATGGATAGGGAAGGGGGAAGTGGGGTTTCAAGTCTCTACAAGGGATCTCATGCTCATGGTGGTGGCAGAGAATCAGGAAACAACAAAACTGTCCCAAGCTCATTTTTCTCTCTTCCTCTTTCCTTCTCAGACCCAGAGGAGCTCTTTGTCTGCACAGATGACCATTATGGGGTGATGCAGTTGTGCAGCCATTAGTCAGTCCTGCTTCCCTGCCAGGTGACCAGCGCCTGGGCCCAGGTGATACTGCACCAGTTCCCTCCAGAGGAAGTCCCAGCGAATGGGACGGACGTTTCCTTTGATGTGAAGAAAGTCTTCACCATCCACTGGCCCCAAGCTTCCTTGGCTCACTCCATCTTCTGCTTGGCCAGCCTAGGTGGCGTGAGGCAAATCTGTACCAGGTATATGCTCACCTGCATCAACTGTGCAAGGGCGGAGGGCTCTGGGCAGGCAGGGCAGGGCAGGATATGGGGAGAGATGCCTCCTTCAGGAACCTCAGGTTTGGTTCTGTGCATGATGGAGCTTTAAACAACCATCCAGTTTTCAACAACACTCCATGCGCTCAAACATCTTGTCCAGTTGGCCGGCCAAGCAGCTTTTGAGCTAGCCTGCATCAGTTCAGCCTTCCTGTCCATCCATCCATTCTCGGTCAAGTCATACACAGCCTCCAACACATCAACTGTTCATCCTCCATCAACTCAACCATCTAGACCATTAATCCTCTATTGACCTAACCATTTCACCCAGTCATTCCTTTCAGTCATGCTAACAATCATTTCTTTGTGTTTGTCCCCATTTCTCTCCCAGATCCATCTTCCTCCCCCAAGTCCACCATCCAAGCTTCAGCAACATCAGTGCAGCTGGGAGAGGACTTCAGTTTACCCTACACGGTTCTGGGTGAGCTGGAGATGGCAGTGGACTTTAGTTGGGAATATCCAGGGCAGAAGGTAAGCAGAGGGGAAGAGGAGGCTGTGTGTATGTTGTGGTGGTGTTTGGGACAGAGTGAGGGATTAGCACAAGGGCCAGGAACACTGCAGAGGGGAGCCACTGCCTGGCTAGGAATCTGATGAATCTGGATTCTAGTCCCAACTTTGATATGCTTCTTTGAGTGACCTGAACAAGTCACCTCCCTTTTCTGGCCTCAGTTTACTCATTTGTTAAATAGTTATGTTTTGGGATACTGTATAAACTATGTAATCTCTCTCTTTGTTAATTTATCCAACAATAATTATTGAACACTTGCCACAAGCCAGACACTGTACTAGGTGCTGAGTTTACAATGATGAGTCAAAAAGAAGTACGGCTTCTGCTCTCTACAAGCTTACAGTTTAAATGCAGTGGTGAGAAGTGGGAAACGAACAAACATGATCATCTAGAGAATTCTAGTGCTACACTGAGGATAAAACTGGGCATCGTGATAGGGTCTGCTTTAAAGTAGGCAGGGCATCTTCTGTGAAATGATATTCATGCTGAGACCAGACTGGTCCCGAACTCATGCAAATGGGGCTTGCGAATGTGCTCAGGCCCTCTGGCTGGGTGTGTGTGCCATGGGAGATGGGCCAAATGCTTGAGCAGCTGTTTTCTGGGCACCCGCTATGGGCCCAGACCTCCCTGAGATGGTGTCAGAGAGGTGGTTGTGGTTTTCTCCTTTCAAAGAACTCACCCCTGTAACCCTAAAACATCTGGAGCAGCTGTGTCCCAATGTCCCATAGTTAGGGTTACTGACTGATGACTTTAGGGAATCTTAAAAGGGCTTCCCAGAAGAACTGGAGTCTGACGTAAGGCTTGGAAGAAGGGCTGGACCCAGCAAAGACATGATGAAATTGAGCCACCATGGGGGCCTTGGGAGGCAGCGAGTAGGGGGGGTTATTCTTCCACTTAGCAAAAGTGGAAACTGAGACCTGACGTGGGTAAAGATAGTGGGAGACACTGGCTTTGCTATGCCAGAATTTCCCTAAACATGCTCCTTGGAATGTTAGAAAACCAAATCCCTCCACCCCCCATCCTGATGAAAGTATTCTTAGGAAAATACTGTTTCTTATAATCATCACCTGCCTTGGAGAGTCAAAACTCACGTGCATGGGTGACAGACTCAGCCTCCCTAATTAACTTTGCTTGACTTAGTGTTCTCCCCCAAATTTTGATAATGGAACCCCACCTTCCCCTGTGTGGGGAGCAGCACTTATTAATGATCCCACAGAACCACAATGCCGGAAACCCACACTCAGAGGTGCTGCTTGGGCTGAGTTACCTGCTTGAGTGGGGAGGAGACCCTAGGACGAGTCTCTCCAGGGACTTGAAAAGCTTCATCTTTTCCACAAAGACCTGGCCTCTCAGGAAGTGCTCTGATGTGGTGGTGTGACCTTGGGCCAGTCACTTCCCTTTTCCCTGAAGAATACATGTTCCTCTTACCTGCCTGCCAGTGCCCGAGTCCTAGAAAGCACTTGGGGCAGATGATGGACAGTCATTTTTTTGTCCCTGCAGCTGGGCCAACCCCCACATGTCAGCGAGTGAGCCAATATGGTATACAGGGAGAGCCAGGTACAGCAGGAGGCAGGGAGCACCCTGCATTTCCAAGAGGCCCAGGCTGGGGACACTGGCATCTACAACCTTCAGGACATAGGGACAACCACCACCCATGTCCATGTGATCCAAAGCCCTCATGCCTCCCCAGCCCCTTCCTAGTCCTCCCCCTGGCTGCAGGCATCCTGATGTGGAGCAGTGGGCAGAAACGGGCAGGTAACTGTGTGAGCCTCAAGTGTTTTTGATGCCGAGGAGGGGCCCTTCAGAGCAGAAAGAGCCTTCACAGTTCACCGCTTGTGTTCACCGGCCCAGCACAGCACTTGGCCGTTGCTTTGAGCTCCCGCCCTCACTCCAAGTCCTGACCCGTTTCAGTGGCCAGCCTGCACTCCAGCCCCAGGCCCAGCTCCAAGACGGGGCAGAGCTCCAGCCAGTGGGGCACCAGGACTCGAGGAGGAAGCCCAGAGCCACTGGGGGCCCACCCAGGCCCCAGGACTTTTCCTCAGCAACGCCTGCCCCCTGTGAGGTCTTCAGTGAAGAGCCACCTCCTCCCTCTCCCAGGAACACACAGAGGCCACATAAAGATGACACCGTGGGTTCTTTTTAGTTTCCATAGCTTGTCTGCCCCAGAGTGAGTCTACGACCATGGTTTTTCTCCCTGCATCCACCACAGGCTACAGGAGGGAAACCCCGCTCCCCACAGCTTGCCTTTCCTCCGGCCTGGCCCTCTCAATTAAAACAATGCTTTCTAAAGTGCATTCTGCAGCCCAAAGTGCTCAGGTTGGGGTAGAAACTTGGTCAAAGGAGTTTAGAAAACACTAGATACTTGGCTTCCATCTTGGAAATTTGTGGCGCACATTAGCATATTAAAGGTCCTGAGAAGTCCTACACTTTGCAGATCTGTTTAACTTGACTGAATATAGACTTCCCCAAATTCCTTGACCACTGACTCTTCCCTTGATGGTGCCTGTTAATCCAATGAACTAGTGTATCCCAGCTGGGCTTTGGGAAAAGTTGTGTGAAAAAGCAAGTGTGCACTTCACTCCAGGGCTGTTCCCAAGGCTCCTGAGTAACCTGTTTGCCCGTGGCTGGGGAAGCTGCTCAGCGCGCCCCTAGCCCCCCGAGGGAGAAATGGAGAGAGTCACGTGTGAACTCCTAGGCTGAGAAGTGAAGGCCAGATCCTGGGAATGAAGAAGGCAGTCTGGGGGGATGGAGGAGACCTCTGTTCTGGTGGACCGGCTTTCCCACATGCTGGCCCAGGGCCTGGGGCTGGAGCTGGGGCTGGGGTCTCAGGTAAGGCCCTTCGGCTCCTGTGATCTCAGTTTGCTGCTGAAATGGGTCAAGGACCTGAGCTTCAAGGATCTGACATGGAGCAGGGGGAGGTCAGGGGAGGGAGGTGTACATGGAAACATCTGATTAAAGGCCGGGTGCCAGGAGGGGTTACCAGAGTCTCCAGCGGACCTGAGGCTTCCTGAGAAGAACCGTGGGCCCGCACACCACCAGGGCTTGACAGGCCTGCTGAGGCCAGGCACTCCAGCACCCCCCGTGCACGGCCAGGGAAGCTGAGGGCCAGGGCCTATGGGCCCAGGGCCTGGGGTCAGAGGTGGCGCAGGAGTGAGTGGAAAGGAGCAAGAGAGACAGGGAGTGGGTGGGGGCCAGGTGGAAGGACAAGGACAGAGAGTCACAGAGCCTGGGGAGGGACGAGAAAAGCACCAGACCGGGAAAACAGATGAGGTACTAATCCTGGCTTTGTGGGTCCCGCACCCTGCCTCGGTTTCCTCATCTGCACAGGGAGGAGGTTCTAGCTCTGGCTGCTGAGGGTAGTAGACCCACTGGGTGGCCCCTGTGACACGGGCACTGAGCCTGAGGGGCCTGAGGCTAAGGAGTGGGCCTTGCCTGCTCGAGGAGGAAGACCTCTGGCTGTAACCCTGTGCTGGCCAGATCCAGGGACCCAGAGCGGCGGCCTGCCCTGCCCAGGCCCTGCCTTGGTGGGGCTGGCCCCTGGCACTGCCCGCCCCAAGGGTCTCCAGGGACTCCCTCCCACCTGCTTGCTTTTCCTTGTTGATTCCCAGGGTTTGGCCCATCTCCTCCCATTCCCCAGCCCCTAATTTGGCCTTCTGACGGTCCTAGAATGGGACACTGCAGTGAATCAAGTGTCATTTGTTCAGTTTCTACAACCATTTCAGAGGAGTGGTAAACAGGTGGAGAGAGGGCCAGGGCAGCACTGGGAAATGGGGTGGAGGGCGGGGCGGGAGCTGATGAGCTGGCAGCCAGGCTGACAAGTAGGGCCAGGAGGTCGTCTCTTCCTTGTCTGATGGCTGGAGAGGCCCAGGCTGCCCCTGAGAGAAGCCTCAGGACCTTCCTGATTTGGGTGAAGAGGAAGGGGAGGGCGAAGGGGCTCCTCTGCTCGTTCCCTGGGCCAACTCCAGGGAGGGTGCTTCCTGGGCAGAGCCCACATGGCCCAAGCCCCGGGGCTCACTGGGCACACACCCTGGCTCCCCACCTCACTCCGGCCCCCATCTCCTCCTGGGACAAGAATGAGGGGCTCCTGCTGGCTTCTCTAGAAAGCCCTTGAGAGGGAGCTGGGGCCACAGGCACCATAGCGGGTGCAGGCCCTGAGCCCTAAGTGGCGAGGAAGGAGACCTCAGTGGGGGTGACAGAGGCCAGGGGAAAGGTGGGAGAGGCATCCGTCCCAAGGACACGGTACAGCAGCTCCTCCTTGTCCTGCCGGAGCTGTCGCAGTAACTGTGACTCCTTCTCCAGGGCCTGTCGGGCAAGAAGCAGGTCCTCTGAGAGCTGCCTGCGGACAGAGAGAGGCCAGGGTTGCCTACTGGGAACAGCCTCTCAGGGCCTCCAGTGATCACGGAGGCCAGCCCATCCCTCTAGGAAGTCTTCCTTAGGCCACCAGCCTGTTCCAGAGTCCCCGCTACTCTGCCATTTGCTTGTATACAAGAGGAGGTTTGACCTGTTGACCCTCATAGATAGCTAGGGGTTCAAATCCTCTCCACCACTTAGCTGTGTAACCTTGGACAAGTTGTTTATTCTTGCTGAATTTCAGTTTCTTCATTTGTAAAATGGGAATGATTATAATATGACTCAGCTCTTAGAGTAATTATGAGGATTAGATGAGATAATATGTAAAGTATTCAACAAATTATGTCTGACACATGACGTTAGCTCTCATTTACTAAGCCTGCAGAACTGGTTCATGTACATTCATTCATTCATTAGGTCTCCTGACCTGTAATTTTCCTGTTCCCTCTTCCCATAGGGGCTTTTCCATGGGGCCCAGTTAGCCAGATGGAGACTGGCATAATCAAGGTACTGAAGCTTAGTCCCTTGGGATTCTTGACTCCCAACAAAAGAGGAACCACATTCCCCATATAGGCCTGGGCCCACCTGCCAATCCATGCCCCGGGCTTCTCTGAGACTCCCAGCTGGGGATTTGGGCAAAGGGTGGGGATGGGAAGAACGAGGCGGTGGCTAGCTACCTTGACACCACCATCTGGCTGCGTCCTCGGGCCTGGAGGTCCTCATTCTCCTGCTGCAGGGTGGTAATTTTCTCCTCAAGCATCAGATTTTTTTCTTTCTGTAACAAATTAGAACAAGTTCAGAAAGCCACCAAACTTACATGACACAATGTGAGCCATCACCCCTCTCTTCTCTGTGGTCACTGAAAACACTGATTCATTCCAAACCAGCTGTTACATTTCCTGAAGCAATAAGATTACTTAAAAAAATACAACTAAGGAGTGAACATAGAGTTGCTAATTTTTAATTATGCCACATGAGAATGTCAAAGAATATAGCTACTACCATCCAATATCTTCATCAGTTTGTAAGAGAAAGCATATTTTTAGTCCTCCAAAAGTCAGAAGGACACAGTCTATATAAATAAAATTAAGTGTGTTTATTATGCTATCCCATAAAAATGGCTGAACAAAATTTATAGGGAACATTTGAAGATGGTCTGATTAAAATATAGGTTTGTAGCACACATGAGGCCACAGAGACTTCTTCCAGAGCAACAGAGTCTCTGTTTGAATCCAACCCCAGGTTCCCAAGGCCTCCCTTTTGGAGACAAGCCACCTGTGTGGTCAATGCCCACCACTCCCCAGGCCTGTCCCTGCTGACTCCGGCCTCCCAGGTCTGTCTGCCTCCTTCCTCAGACCCTGCAGGGCATGTAACATCTGCTGGTCCCCCCTGATTAGCCAGGCTATCTGCCCTGGTGTCACCCCAGTTACAGCAACATGAGAAGCCAAGAAAAGTGTGGGACCCAGATGAGAAGGAGCCTCTGCTTGACCCAGACTGGCCACAGACCAGCCACGGCTGTTTGTAAAGGACCAGCATGGGTGTCAGGCCAGAGCTGGTGTGGACCAGCCTGGGGCCTCCTCAAAGAATCTCCCTCTGTATACTTTATACTTTTTTGTCAGGAAAACAGAAGCCTGAGGCTGCATCCCCCCAGCCACTGCCAGCCGCGGACCACTGTTTCCATGAGGATCAGTCGTTTGTCTAGCTCATGAATATGCTCGTTCTTCATCTCGACGACAAAGTGTAAGCTCTCCAGCTCCTGCTCCCAGAACTGGCTGGGACTCCCGTAATCCTAGACAGGGACATAGAGTGACCTCATCAGACCATCAGTCAGAGAGAGGCATGGCTACCTCCTTCCTCCCCATTTTGCCTCCAACTCACTGTGTGACTTTCATGAGTCACCTCCCTCTCTTGGCCCATGGTAAGCACCTAATATGCTTTATCTCATTCTCTCAACACCTTTGGAGGCATCTGCAATTACCATCATAGATGAGGGAACTGCAGGGTTTAGATAGCTTAAGTCACTTGAGGTAAGTGGTAGGTCTGCTTGATGGAAGCAGTCTAAGTGCCCATCAGCAGATAAGTGGATAAACAAGATGTGGCACATATACACAATAGAATATTATTCAGCCATAAGAAGAAAACACATCCTACCATGTGCAACAACATGGATGGAGCTAGAGGGTATTATGCTCAGTGAAATAAGCCAGGCAGAGAAAGACAAGCACCAAATGATTTCCCTCATTTGTGGAGTATAACAACAAAGCAAAACTGAAGGAACAAAACAGCAGCAGACTCACAGACTCCGAAAAGGGACTAGCGGTTACCAAAGGGGAGGAGATGGGGAAGGTGGTGGGCAGGGAGGGAGAAGGGGATTAAGGGGCACTATAATTTACAATCACAATATAGGTAGGTCACCTGGAAGGCAGTACAGCATGGAGAAGACAAGTAATGACTCTGTAGCATCTTACTATGCTGATAGACAGTGACTGCAATGGGGGGGGTTGAGGACTTGATAATATGGGTGAATGTTGAAACCACAAAGTTGTTCATGTGAAACCTTCATAAGGTTGTACATCAATGATACTTAAAAAAAAAAAAGTGGTAGGTCTGCTCTTTGTACCTAGTTCTCTCTGAATCCAGAGGCTGAGCACTTTGCTCTTCCATGTGCCTCTCTTGGAGCCTTACTTCCCTCCTCAATGACATGGGGAACCTGTTCCTTCCAGGCCCTTATGAAGGTAAGAGTGTGAGGTCTGAACCCTGTCCTTGAAGAGGGCCTGGCCTTTCCTGATGCCCATACCCTGATCTCTGTGGAGATTCAAGAAGCAAAGGCCCCCAGCTGTACTGCCACCTACCTGGATGTGCTTCTTATAGTCTCGGCTCAGAATGGACCCCTCCACCCTCTTCATCTTGGCCTGGAAGACCTCCAGCTGTGAGGTCAGTCCATCAATGGTCTCCTGGGGGAGGGGGCAGGAAGGAGGTGATCAAAGCCTGGCTCATAGAGGCTGTAGGTGACTTCTTCACATCCCAGAGGGAGATCAGTTTTGGGTTCTTCAGTCTATCTTTGCTGTAGCGAACCCAACAACACAGACTTAATTTACTTCAGTCACCGCTTGAAACCCACCAGCCCCATCTCTTGTTACAAAGCCTTTAATGACTCCTGATACCCATTGGGTGTTGGGGGCTGGTATTAGCTTGGCATTCAAAGCCCATCTAAGTTTAAGACACTTTCCCAGTCTCCCATCTCATTGCTCCTGCAGCCAAACGTCACATCAGTCCTCTAGCTGCAAAGTGCATTCTTGTCCCCATAATTTCTACCACCAAGAATATCCTCCACCTGAACCTTGACCATTAGCTTTAAGATAGTGTGCAGCCCCTTCCCAGGGCTCACAGGCCCCATGGCTTGGACCTGGCCCCCTCTCCAGCCTCAGCTCTCTCCCACTCATACCCCATGCCCCAGGCATCATGGACCTCTTTCTAGTAACCAAGTGTTCCCTGTTTCCTCCTTTCCTCCGTGCTCTTTTGTAGCTTTAAGCACACTGTTGTTTTCTGTCCAAGGTACCCCTCCTACCCGCCTTCATCTGAAGAATTCCAACCCATCCTTCAGGTTCCAGTTTAGATCTCTCTCCCTCTAGGAAACCTCTGCCCAGCTAAGTTGGGCCAGATCCCTTCTCTCATGCTGCCACAGCTCCTGTACGTCCACCCACCAGCCTCATCACACATGGCACTGGCCTGTTCTGTTCCCTGGATCCCACCAACAGGCTTTAGAAAAATCAGCCAATCCTAATCTCATCTCAAACCAAGTCCTCTTAACCTAAGTCCCCACCTCATGGAGCCGGGATACACAGCAGACAATCAACTCTGTCCCTCCCGCCTAGGCAGAGGCCATCAGCTGTGGCTCCTAGGGCTCCATGCTGCTTCACTGCAGGTCCTCCCTGCATGGCCCAGCCCCTCTCACCGGCAGAGAGACCAACATGGCCCAGCCCCTTTCACCTGCAGGGCTGCCTTGGCCTCCTGAAAGGAGTGGGTCAGGGCTTCTTTCTCGCACTCATAGGAGGCCCGGAGGACTGCGGGGAAAGGAGATCTCTGTGAGTCCAGACACTTTGCCCTGAAGCCTTCTGACAGGCCCCAGGAGGGCCAGAGAGCATAGGGTGATCACCTGGGCCCAAGGGGCTGGGAGTCTGGGAACAGTCTTGGTCATCCTTTTCCTCCTGGGCATGGGGCTGTGCTAGAAATATAGTAGATCTTTAATAAAAGCTCATGGAAATGGAAACAAATTACATCCTGGGAGGAAATGTGAGCCCTATCAGATTGTGGGTGCCACCATCTAAACCAGGATCAATACACTCAGGATTGTAGCCTTGTTGAGGCTATGATCCAAAAATCTTGCAGGACACTTACTCATTTCAAACCACAGCATGCTAAAGAAAACACATAAGGCCAATGTTTTGTAGGTTGGCTTAGCCAAATCTTGAAATCATCAAATCCTTAGTTGTCAAACCATGGCAAAAAATGCAGTAAGGTTTGGGGCCAAGAAATCTACCTAGTCCTGAATCTGCTCCTTCAAAACAGAAACCTTGAGAGGATCACTTCAAATATCTAAAAGTCTTATTGCCTCACCTGTGAAATGGGTTGTTTCTAAAGGACAACTTGAGGGTCACCTGAGGACCACAAGGGCTTTCCAGGCCTGGACTTATTCCCTCACCTCCTTATGTTATGCTTATTATCCCACCTCCTCTACAAAGTTCCTCTTGGAAAATTTCAGCCGTGTCTCAGCTGAAAGAAGACAACTGGGAAATGATGAATCAATGGATGGGAAGGGAAGTCAGACGGAGGACAGGAAAGGGAAGTTCAGTACAGCCAAAGGCCCAGGTATACAATGGGCTGGTGTCACAGTGGGCAGTGACACAGAGTAAAGAATGTTTAGTAATATAAATGTGATAGAGATGTCAAAATTGATAAGGTACGTTATATAAAATTACAGGCTTAATTTTTCCAAATTACCAGACTAATTTGTTAATTTGCCTATCAAGACAGGTTCTGTTTCCAGGTAAGATGGAGGAAGTGCACTCCATCCAGTCTGTCCTACTGAATGTAACTATAAAACCTAGACAGAAGGAAGGGATCGGCTATTTGCAGACTCTGCAACATGAATGGTAGCAGGTGGGGTGGGTGAGGAAACCAGAATTCCAAGTACCACTGAGGCAACAGATTAAACAAGACACCTGACTCTCATGTATTCAGATATTCAAAGTGTCTAGGATACAATACGAAATTGCTCAGCATATGAATTCATAATGGCTGAGCACAAAAAGAAGCAGAAATATCTTAACTTTCTTAGAAAAGACATTCAACAGACGCCAACACTGAGTTGCTACAGATACTGGCATTATTAACAGAGGCTTTAAGGCAGCTATTATAAAAATACTTCATGAAGTAAGGGTGAATACTCTAGAAAATAATGGAAAAAATAGATAGTCCTAGCAAATGCATAGAAACTATTAAAAAGAACCAAAAGGAAATTTTAGAACTAAAAGATATAACGAATGAAATTTAAAAACTCACTGGGTGGGTTCAACAGAAGAATAGAGATGACATAGGAAAGAGCTAGTGAACTTGAATATAGATCAACAGAAATTACCAAAATCTCAGCAATAGGGAGAGAAGGTGTTAGAAAAAACATGAGCAGAGACGCAGGGACTTGTAAGACAACCCCCAAATACCTAACATTTCTGTCCTCAGAGTCTCAGAAAGAGAAGAGAGAGTGCAGTGCAGAAAAGCTATTTGAAGAAAGAATGGTTGAATGTTTCTCAAATAAGGCAAAACATAAGCTTACAAATTAAAGGCACCCACTGAGCCCCAGACAAAGTAAACCCAAAGAGATCCATACACCAGGCACACAATTTTTGAAAACTAATAATGAAGAAAACAATCTGGAATGGAACCAGAGAAAAATGGTGCATTACTTAATGGAAACAACAGTCTGAAGGACTGTAGATTTCTCATTAGGAATCTTAGAGACTAGAAGGAATAAGGACATTAGAAAACTGCTGAAATAAAAACTATAAATGTGTGTGGGGGCACGGGGAGGGCTGTGCAACACAGAGAAGACAAGTAGTGATTCTACAGCATCTTACTATGCTCATGGACAGTGACTGTAATGGGGTATGTTGGGGGGACTTGGTGACAGGGGGAGTTTAGTAACTATAATGTTGCTCATGTAATTGTAGATTAATGATAACAAAATAAAAACAACAACACAAAAAACTGAAGGAACAAAACAGCAGCAGACTCACAGAACCCAAGAATGGACTAACAGTTACCAAAGGGAAAGGGACTGGGGAGGGTGGGTGGGAAGGAAGGGAAAAGGGGAATAAGGGGCATTATGATTAGCACACATAATTTAGCGAGGGGACATGGGGAAGTCAGGATAGCACAGAGAAGACAAGTAGTGACTCTATAGCATCTTACTATGTTGATGGACAGTGACTGTAATGGGGTATGTGGGGGGGACTTGATAATGGGGGGAATCTAGTAACCACAGTGTTGCTCATGTGATTGTATATCAATGATACCTTAATAAAAAAACATAATGAACCTAACTATAAATTGTAAGGTGTTGTCATTGGTGGGGAAGGAATATGGATATTTAAAAATTCTCCTTTTTGTCTAGGTTTTCCAAATTTCCTTTAAGGAACATGACATACTTTTATTATTTATTTATTTGTTTGTTTATTTACTTATTCATTTATCATTAATCTACAATTACATGAGTAACATTATGTTTACTTACTAGACTCTCCCCATCACCAAGATCCCCCCAGATACCCCATTGCAGTCACTGTCCATCAGTGTAGCAAGATGCCACAGAGTCCCTACTTGTCTTCTCTGTGTTGCACTGTCTTCCCCATGACCCCCCACACACCATGATACCCCTCCATCCTCTTCTCCCTCCCTCCCCACCTGCCCTCCCCCACTGCTCCACCTTGGTAACAGCTAGTTCCTTCTAGTCTGAGTCTGCTGCTGTTTGGAACATGATGTACTTTTAAAATGGAAGGAAAAGACCATCCTGACTGAGGTGAAGTGAAGAACGGTGTCAGTCATGACCTGGCGGACAAGCCCAAGGAGCCTGCAGACTCCGGCCCAAAATGGCCAGTTTCTTGTGGACCAGAGGCAGAAAGGAGGGGCCAGGGACATTCCCCCTATGAACTGGACAGGTGGGGACGGACAGACCCTTCCACCCCCACCCCCAGGGGAGCGTCCCTGTCCTTACCTTGCAGGGTCTCCTCATGCTCTCTGTGCAGGACTCTTTGCTGCTCATCCAGTTTCTGAAGCTCTAGCTCCCTCTCCTCCACCTGGAGGAGCAGAATGAGACTCAGTAGGTTCAATGCAGCCTCCCTTGTCCACTCACTGACCCATGGGGCTTTATGAAGGTTGATGATTAGAATCCCCGCCCTTCATCTGAGTGATGGCAGTGACATACGCTCAGAGAAGACACGAGTTCTTAAAGATACAGCAAGTGGCTGACTGCCTTCTTTAGGGCTTAAAAGGGGCTCCCAGAGAATTATCTAGGTGGAAAGGGAAGTGGGAGCCTTCTAGCGCTATGCCCACTCGAGGCAGGAAGCCCCTCTATGGTGCTAGTGTTTCCCCACCTTTCATTGTACGGAATGAATACAAAGGATTACATGCAAACAGGATCACGTATTTGCTCAACAGATAAAGGTCTCCCTTCTGGGCGAAAGGAGTGAGAGATACTTACCACAATAGAAAAGAGAGGGGTGGGTCACTTGGATTTACCTGTTGTACCCATTTTTTCCTGTCTTCTTCATGTTGCTGGAGAATTCTGGTTATCTCCTTCTGATGCTGCTCAGCCTCTTCAGATGCACAGAGCTGATCAGTTGTGGCTATCCGTAGGGAAGCAGAAAAAAAAAAAAATCACACAGAGCAGAGGTGAGGTCAGGGCCCAGCAGAAACGGTGCAGTAGGCTGGGGCTAAAGCGTGAGAACCCTGGTCTCCACCTCAAGAATGGTTCAGGTGGGGGTCACCTTCAGAGGTGGCCCACCCCATCTCTCTGGCTTTGGAGATCCTCTGTCAGCATAGAAGCCAGTGGCATAGGATAGATTCAACTCATAAAGGTGCTATTTGCTCTACCCAATATCTAAATTAGAAAAACATCAGTTGTTGATATTTAAGAATGGGGTGGCTTTTACTCTTTTACTTAATAACACAGATCTCCAATTTTCCCTGATGAAGCGAAGAACTGGCAGTGTGTGCCTTCATGTCAACCAGGGGCTGACACTGAGGGTCCTCCCCTCTGTCCAGGACATGGTCCTGCTGTTTGCCGCAGCCCTCACCTCTCCCTACTGAGGGTGCACATGAGGGGCCCTTCATTATGTACGTGACCTGCTGAGGCCTGCAAGCATCTGAGTGTGGGACCCTTTACCTTCGGCATCCCCCCAGTTGGAGACAGATGGGCTGCTGCAAGCATAGAGGAGACACAAACAGCAAGTGCAGTCCTTGCTCAGGGAAGCTCCAAAACAGGCCCCGCCAGTACTACTCTGAGTCTGACAGGCTTTGGATTCCACCTAAGGCAGTGACCCATCCTCTCCCTGCTTCAGTTACCCAACCTACGAAGCCAGATATTAGTAATACCTGCCTCACTGGGCTGATTAGACCAGAAAACAATGGCAATAAAAATCACAGCCACTAAGGAGTGTGGAGCGCTCCCTGTGCTCAGGCACGTGCCTGGCCTGGTCCCAAGGCCTCACAGGGGTTACTCACTTAATCCTCACAACAACCAGTTTGGGCACTGCGATCATCCCCATTACACAGGGGAGGAAACAGATGAGAAGTTATGCAAGTTGCCCAAGGTCACCCAGTTCACGAGAGGGGGCAAAGGGCTGTGCGCCTGCATGGGAATCTGTGTCCCTGGCAAAGACTCCTAACTACCCCCTTATTCTGCCTGCTAGCCCACAGAGAGCAGGAAGTGTGGTGCCAGGCATTTGGGGGTACCCAATAAATGGTCCTTATTTTTGAAATGCTCATCAGTGCTCCTGACCAGCACTGGAGGCTAATATTAGTGTTGCTAGCATCATTATTAATGTTACTGTTACTATTACAGAATTCCATAGGTAGGGTCTGCCAAAGGGTATGGTGAGAAATGTGAGGAAAAGGAAATGGAGAAGCCAAAACTGGTTATTCCATCAGGATAGGAGGAAGAGTGAGCCATGACCTGGGACCTGGGGGATGGCAGCGGTCAAGATCAGAGAGTCCCAGACTCTCACTAATCATTTGGCTCTGGTTCCTAAACAATGGTCTGCAAGACAAGTACCAGACTGCCCTGGCTGCAGAGAAGCTGATTAGATTAAAAGGGGTATCATCACTAACAATGCAATTCTTCAGCTCCACTCCCAGACATTCTTATTTAGTTGGTCTATCATGGTGTCCAGAATCTGTACCTTTGAAGTATACCCAGGTAACTCTTATATACAGCCAGATTGCAGAACCTCTGAATTCGGATCCAATTGCTTATCTGGTACCTCAGCTTCATCTACAATATCCCTGACAGCCTCCAGGTCGTAATTAATCATTTTTAGAGATGGAAAGCCCATTCTATTACTAGGCAGCTCTGATGATTAAATAAGAAACCACACAAACATTCTTTCAGATTGCCCATTCCTGCTACCTTGAGGCCCTAGTACTGACCTCTAGGTCACACTGAACAAGGCTCATCTTTATTCTCCACAAGGGCACTTCAGACATTTGGAGAGAATTGTGTTTCATTGCAACATCTTTCCAGGTAGAGAATATCCTCTGTTCCTTTAGCGGCTCCTCACAGGACATGGTTTCCAGATTCCTCACTAGCCTGATCTATCTCCACTGTACTACTTCCAATTTTTCTGGATTCCTTTGAAAATTAACTTTCCAGAAATAAATTTAGCACTCCAGTTGTAGTATCAGTAGCCAGGAATATGGAAGTACAGGACAGGACTATCACCTCCCTGATTTTAGATGCAATACTCTTATTAATAAAACCTATCTAAGAGCTCATGAGCTATTTGAATAGCTATAAGCACCTTTGTTGATTACAAAGTAGGAAACCTCATGGATGTTGGGGAAGGCATTTATAGGGCTGGCTACTCACCTGTGTTCCCACTGAGGGGACATAGTTCCTGTAGCTCTGGTCTGGGTGGCTGATCCAGTTCTTGGTGCCTCTGGAAGAAATGAGACAACAATGAGGTGAAGACAGAGGGTAAAGGTCAATGTGAAGATGGATACTGTTGCTGGATTCTTCCAAAGGCAAGACAGGATTTCAGCTATGCCCAACCTTGCTCCATGCCTAGGCTACTGGGGCTGTCTCCCTCACTGTCCCAAGGTGACACTCCCTCTGTGGGCAGCGGTTCCCAGAGCAGGGTTTCCTGCTATTGCCAGGGAAACCCTCAGCAGGGAGGGAAAAGGGGAATAAGGGGTATTATGATTAGGACACATAATGTAGGGGGGCACGGGGAAGACAGTATAGCACAGAGAAAACAAGTAGTGACTCTATAGCATCTTACTATGGTGATGGACAGTGACTATAATGGGGTGTGTGGGGGGGACTTGATAATGGGGGGAATCTAGTAACCACAATGTTGCTCATGTAATTGTAGATTAATGATACCAAAATAAAAAAAAAGGAAGTTCAAGCCACAGTTTTACTATACTTATTATCTGTTAGAAGGGACTGTGTCCCTAACTAGAAGAAGGCAGCAGTACCTCTCTTGAGAGATTGGGGTGAGACACTGTAAGCAGGGTGTATGTGGTACTGCGCTGTCTTATCTATACTATCTTAGCTAATCCTCAGAATGATCTTGTGAAGTGTGAATATCCCCAATTTAAAGATGAGAGGCTGAGTGAGGTTAGGACTTGATCAAGGTAGATCAGTGGATAATTGACAGTCAAGTATTTAGGTCACCTACTGGGTGCTTTAACCAACCTTGGGCAGTGTTGGCTGAATCTGACCAGAGGGAAAAACCAGCGCCAAAGGGCCCCTGTGTCACAAGGGTGTGCCCGTGGCTTCTAGATTTCAGTTTTCATAAATGACCATTTTTCCTAGGAGACTTGATATGAGTTGACAAGCAAGGACTCTGGAAAAAATTACTTGCATACTCTCCCTGTCACTTCATAAAATAGAAGACATCTAACCTCCCAAAATACATTAAGGAAAGCTCAAGGCAGTTCTTCCAGGAAAGGGGAATTGACATCCTTATTCAATGTTACACACACACTCTCACCTTTAATTTTCTTATTTTACCCCAGATAGGTGAAAAGTTGGTCAGGGTCTGGCACTGGCCATCGGACCGGGATCTGGTGTAGAAAAACACTTACAGCCTTTTGTACATTTCTCAAGCTGCTCTCAGATGTTAACTAAATCTATTATGGTGATCATTTCACAATTTATACAAACATTGAAATATTATGTTGTTCACCTGAAACTAATATAATGTTATATGCATTTATACCCCAAAAAAAAGTTCTAGAGAAAAAAAAATTCTACACCATATTTTAAGAAATACTTAAAAAAATAAGTCAGCCTATTAAAAGACTATGAAAAATGTTCAATTGTGAATTATCATCATGAAAGAAAAACTCTTTTTCCTATGGTAACAGATTTTTAAAAGTAATTATCAGAATAAAATTACCAATTTCCTGAACTGAAGAGTGATGGAAATGCTGCTAAAAAGAACAGTCCTGGTTGGGGAGGGAAGGTAAGTCAAGGGCAGTAGAACATTCTGTCCCTACCCCGCAGTGCCCGTCACCGAGTCTGATGCAGTGTGAGCCGGCGAACTGAGCAAAACATGGTGCCTCCTCCAGGCCCGGCGCCCCAGATCTGCTCAGGGGCTGGGCATGCCTGACAACTGAGGTCTCCAAGCACCCTGTCAAGAGTCAGCGCTCCCTTCCAGGGCAGAGGGGACGCCGGGCCCAGCACAAGCTGGGGAAGCTGTCAAAGCAGGAATCTGGAAGAGTGACAGGAGCCAGCCTCTCCACCCTGGGCTGGAGGAAGGAGGGAGATAAAAGCAAACAGGAGATAAAGGCGGAAGTCCCTGTTGCCACCACTGGTTACACTAATCGGGGCAATGTTTTCATGGGACGGAGAACTCCTGAATTCCAGTCAGGGCTCTTCCACTGACTTGGACAAATGTCCTCCCTCCTCGGGGCTCTTGCTTCCTCCTTTGCAGAGTGGAGGTGAGGAGCTCTTAGTTTAATTCAATGACCCCCATGGTGTTCAGACTCTGAGTGTATGATCTCAGCTCCTCCCAACAGCACTGAGAGGCCAGGGCGATGACAGGCAGGAGACGGAAGCTCGGGGAGGAAGAACACTGTCCCAGGGTGCCGTGACGTCCAATGCGGCATCAGAACCAAGTCTCGGCACATTAGAGGCTGGAGCAACATGGTCAAAGAACTCGGAGCTTCTACGATCCCCCAGGTCTGAATTCGAATCCTGACTCCAACACTGTGTGACCATATGGCTTTCCCAAGCCTTGGTTTCCTCATGAGGCTATTTTAAGGATTAGATGAGATGATGCACCTGTAATGCCTGACATGTCCTAAGAGCACAGCCACTGCCTAGGTCTTATTACTTTATGTCTGAGAAGCACAGCAAGAACGAAGACCCCACAGGGCTGTGGCAGGTCTCTTTGGCTGCCATGGGCCTTCGGTTGCCTGAAATAAGATCATAAAGCACATGAAAAACTGTCTTCTCCCAAATAATAACCATAGAAAGGTGAAAAACTCTTCTCTACTTACAGCTTCCAGACCTCAGGCAGCATATGGCCATGCACCGGGCTGCCAGATGCTGACCGAGCCACCCCCAGGTTAGCTCCTTGAGAATCAAGGCGCCTCACAGTCCCTGCTCAGTCACTGGCCTCGTCCTCCTCCTTCTCCTCATCTTAATATTTAAATATTTGTAAGCATTTTGTCCAATTATAGTATAAGTGGAATATATATGTATTCATTATTGGAATATGACATATACCTCTGTATATCTTAGTCTTTCAATATATTATAAACATTCACTATATAGGATTAAATATTCTATAAATATACTAATTTTAATGACTTGCATATTACATGTTTATGGATGAATTTAATCATTTAATCAATAATCTACTGTTGAGTAGATTATTTCCACGTTTTTTTTATTAAGGTATCATTGATACACAATCTTATGAAGGTTTCACATGAGCAGCATGGCGGTTACTACATTCATCCATATTATCAAGTCCCCTCCCCACACCACACTGCAGTCACTGCCCATCAGCATAGTAAGATGCTGTAGAGTCACTACCTGTCTTCTCTGGGCTGTATTGCCTCCCCTATAACCCCCGTACATTATGTGTGCTGATTATAATGCCCCTTAATCCCCTTCTCCTTCCCTTCCCACCCACCCTTCCCAGCCCTTCACTTTGGTAACTGCTAGTCCCTTCTTGGACTCTGATTATTTCCACTTTTAAATTTCCAAATTATGCTTTAGAGAACATACTGACTTATGAGGGTTTTCACACATCTAAAATCACTGGCTCTATCCTCCAGGAAGGTTTTATTTGGCTCACCTGCTAATGTAGCACATAAGAAGGCCAGTTTCACTTTAACCTTGTCAACATGGAATAGTATCACTTGTTAAAAAATGTTGGCAAATTTGCTAGGCCAAAACCAAACCAAAACAACCTCCTATATTCCTGGCCCCAACATGTGCATCCATGTGTTCAAAACCATCGTAACATGACATACACGCCACAATTTCTCAGGCTTCCAGACCCAGCTCACACGTACCGTGTCTCCTCAGTGTCTCCCTAGGGCTGAGTTAGTTGTGTCAGCTCCACGCTCAAGGGTCTGTTCAGACACCCAGGTGAATACCTACTGGTTACCTGTGTTTCTCTTGCTAGTCCAAGGGGCCCTTTGAGGGCAGAGATATTTTGAATTTGCCCCCAGTACCTGGGCAGAAATGCCCAGAACAGCATTTCTAGGAATGTGATCTACAGATATCCTGCATTAGAACCACCTGGACTGCTTGCAAACACAGCTCCCAAGCTCAGTTCTAGACCTATGGAATCCAAATGCAGCGTGGGTACTGGGAAGCTCCGACCTACCGATCTGCAGGTGATACCAATGCTCACAGAAGCCAGAGGACACACAGCCTGGAGCTGAGTAGGAATGATAAGCAATACTCCAGGGAAAAATGCCAGGTTGGGGCCCTGGCCGCTTCTCAGAGGTCATGGAGCACAGTGCCCCCTGCAGTGGGAGAGGTCAGGGCCTGGGAAGGGGACACAAGAATTCCCCCTTCCAAAAGCAGGTAGTGGGTCCTAGACCTGGGGCAGTGCTTCCAGGATGTGGTCTGGAAGAGAGATGGCAGCTTCCTGAGTCAAAGGAAACTTGGGAGAAGAAAACTACAGAGAGAGATTGGCAGCACTGGATGGAGGGAGAACCCAGGGCTCAGGGAGAGGCCAGGAGACCTGGGTCCCAGCAGTGCTGTGTGACTTTAGGGAAGTCCCTTCCCCTCTTTGGACCTCAGTTTCTCTGTCTGGGTGGGGCCAGGGTTGGCACAGATGTTCTCCTCAGTCCTCTGAACTCCAGGGCAGCCCCTCAACTAAGAAGGCTGGAAACACGGTCCCTATACCTTGGAAACATGCACTGTTCTGGGGCCTAGCTCCGTGTTGTCAAGCAGACCAGAACCCTGTGTTGGGTGCAGCCTGAAGCAAGCCTGGTCTGCAGTAGGTCATGGCTGCCAAACGCAGACACAGAGTCAGGGCAGAGTGGGAGCGCACCGTCTGGAGTTGTGGGGAAGCCAGACAAACTCAGACTAGGAGCTGAGACTATGCTCCCACTTCAGAGGGTGAACTGACAGGGTGGAATGTGCCCAAAGGAGCTGACAGGATGTGAAAGGAGACTCAAAACCGAATTATAGGCAGGACTGTTCACAGATCAACACAGTTGACCAGCCTCAAGGCAGGCAGGAAAATCAGGCCCTGTCTTCAAGTCTCTGCAGGGCTGCCATGAGATGTTAGTATGTAGCCCAGTCTTGGAGGGCAGGATTGTGGCCAAGGGCTAGAAATTTCAAGAAGAAGTTTCAGTTCAACATGAAGAATTTCAAAACTGCCTTATTGGAGGGTGTGGTAATGGTAATGAGTTCTCCATCACTGGCAGTATGCAAGAAGAGGCAAACTTAATTTTGCAG